GTGTACAAAGAATCGGCAAAGTACAAAGAAGAACAAAACTTAAGATTTCTAGTAGTTAGCTGAAAAGAGGTTTTCCAAATAATAAAGAAATGTCTGTGCAGTGGCGAATTTTCTCATAACAAAACTAGTAATAAGCTATTAATTGATTCCAAGAAATGCAATCAAAAGCAGAATAGCTTGAGCACATCGATTCGATTGAATTTCGTACGACTTCAAATGCAGAACATTTAGTTCAATTGCAATATAGCTAGTGCTTCTCAGTATAACGACTGCCTGGGTACACGCAGCAAGCGTCTAGTTCCAAAAATTGGCCACGCAAAGTTGTTCACAAACTCCTTTTTGAAACTGACAACAAAATCTAATGTTTCAAGGATATCTTATAGTCAGTCAATCAAGCGTTCAAGCTAAATGATATATATGATACTTAATCACTCTCACTGGCACTTCTGACGCCCTTGAATTAGTTTGAATTAGCACACCAAGGCAGTAGAGCCATGAGAGGTCACCGACTTTCTTTATCATTGCAGAAAACACTCTGTTAGAAAACGGCTGCTGAGAGCTTTACTTCTATTTAACAATTAGGTTATGAGCTCCAGATTTCTATCACGCACAAAAATCGAGAGCGAGTAATCTAATTGTTTTAGTATAAATCTACTAACTCTACAGTAAATTATGTAAATTCTCTTCACAGACACTTGCAGACGATAGGAAGCGGCCGCCATTTCGTTAACAACCGCACGCTGCTAGGCTACTCACTATCTATAAAAGAACAGATAGTGGTAAGCGTAGGTTAACGGCCTGCGAATAACTTTTACTAGATTACTCACTACTCACTTATGACATGCCAGATTTTGCTAGTCAATATACTTTTTACTTGTCAGCTTTAATTTGTTGTGTTGTTTTTTCGTTCCTGAGCCAAACTTATGTTGTATGTTTTATTAGAGCTCACGAGAACACTAGACCTGGAATTGAAACTCGTAATTAAACTGTTAGGAAAGGAAAGAGATTATCAAAATCGTATAAACTTGAAATATCTACTTGTTGTAATTTTCTTTCGGCTTTCTGTTCTCGAGTTCACTAGCATTCTTATAGCATTTTGTTCTCATGTTGCATTCCCAACACAGTTATAATAACAGTTTTTCACTTGATATAACTATTAGTAAAAATACAAAGCCAACTGGTCAAAATTGAATTATTAGTCTCATGTTGGCTACCGTTAGAGTGGAGCCCTGGACATAGGATAAAGCCACGTTTTTGTAACTTCTATAGAATTTCTGAGTTACTCAAGTTAATCGAACGAGACAATTTTCAAGGACTTTCTGAATACATACGTGAGAAATAATCTAAATCCAATGGATTCGTAAGTCGTGGTCCTATAAACAGAATTTTTCTACTAGGCCTTGACGATTTACTCAGTTAATGATGAAACAAGGAATCACTTAAGAAAGACGTTGCACCTGAGCCTTCAGTTTCTTTCCATCTCAACAACATTTTGTAAGTTTTCTCAGAGTATTTTCCGTTCACTTTATCAATTGCATCTGACGCGTTCTCGCCATTTTCCAACAACCAACGCCCAAGTTTCTTCCAATGCCCAGGAATTTTCTGTGTCTCTACTTCTAGAATAACATCTTTGGGTGTGCCTTCTACTTCAAGTAGTCGCACTGTAGTAAAATGCGTCATGTTGTTTTCCTACAGCAAAATTCTTTGGCCACGTTGTTAAGTCCAACTTTATCATGACACAAAGCGTTGTAGAGGTCCTGATAAAGTGTAGTCGAAGCTGTTGTACCTTTCCAGCGAAGTAACATTCGATATGGTTTATCTTTTTCATTAGCATCTATTTCGTCCAGTGTATCCTGACTAATGAGAAGGTGAAGTCCCAGCGTCTGCCACTTTGCAGCAATCTTGCTTGCCAGCTCATTAAGTGCAAGGTCATTAGGTTTGCCTTCTTTGAAAGAGCTTTCCTTATTCGCAATTTCGTCGTCGTTTTCCGGTGCGCCTTCTTTAACTGTAACTGGAAGAAGACAAGATACAGTAAACACCCGCATATAAGGACGCATGATTTCGGGGTTCAGGCTGATCTAGTTCTTATTTATCGGGTCCTTAGTGAGAAATAAGCCTGAGTATGTTCTTAGTCTGTTCTTAAACTTTGTTTCAGAAATACTACACATAACATGTTATTGGAGGTTTAGTTAGCATATGTTATTATAAATAAATAGGTAAGTAAATAAACAGATCAGTAAATTTTTAAATCAGTTTCGTAATGGTCTAGCAGCAACCCTAGTTACATTGCTCTCTTATTCCGACACCCTCTCCCTTATTATATAATAACATGTTTTACTTATCAGGCTGAACTGGTTCTTATATATATGGTGCTTTATTGGCCAACTTTCAACCTGATGTTCTTAATCTACTAGTTCTTATATGCGGGTACGGTGTTTACTGTACCCGAATAGAAGTCTACCTTAAAAAACTTGAGTCGATCTGATTTGCACCGGCGTTCAATGATTGAGGGATATCAAAGATATCAATTTGTGAATCTTGATTTGATATTCTTGGCGTGACCTCCGAAGCGTGGAATGACTGGGGTTTTCTAATTCACTCGTAACAGTGATCTGCTAAGCAGCAGTGATCAGATTATAATTATCTGTGAATGAGACACGCAGTAGTGACTTGATCCCGAAGTTCTGCCGAATTCGTCGGCAGAACTTTACAGATTGTCCTTTCTTAAGACAGGACGAATGCTGTCGGGTTTCCACGAATTTTCTTTTCTAGTTATATTAAGGTGGCTGAACACAATTTTTGATACCTGTGTTCATTCACCTTTTTCTCTAAAACCCTTGATCCCTCGGTCGCCAAAAATGGCAGCAAGCAAGTTAACAACACAAACTTTGGTTT